TATATATATATATATATATATATATATATATATATATATATAAAATATTTTTCAAAAGCTTTAAGCATGGAGAGACTTAACCTGTTCCAGCATCTCAGAGTGTTAGGTCTCAGGCCCTCCACATGAGCTCAACCTGAACCATAGGATTTCTGGCTGTTAGATAAAAGCCAGCATCCCTCTGGAACTTGAGGTTTTCCATCCTCAAATGGGGTCCTCCTTGATAGCTATTTGTCCTCCTTCCAACCCCCACCCCCAAATAATTTCTATTCTTTGCTGTCCTGTCATTAAACTCTATCTTTGGCTATCTTGACTACCCCATCTTCCCTAGGCCTGTCCATAGTCTGTTTCTCTTTCTCTCTGCTCTGGACTCTTCCAGTTTTGCCTCTGGATCATTTCTCTTCCTTACCCATAACAAAATGTTACCCCTAATGGAATGGTCATGTTTACTTTCTTTACTGTTCTTGCCCACTGGACCATATCTGACCCCTTTAACTTACAGACATCAACATCAAAAAGCACCCTAAAATATTTAAATGATACACATTTGATTACTTTAAATTTCTGTGAAATAAACTCCTGTATGGGTGTATATTGTATACATACTAGCTTTTTGTTTAGGGTGCTTGGCCACCATGACAGAAATGTCTAACTTAAGCAAAAAAAAAAAAAGTACTGGAAGGGTATCAAGAGCTCATGGAATAGTTAAAAAGCAAACAAACAAAAAGCAAACAAACAAACAAAAAACCATAGAAAAGGTTTGGGGAAACACAGCTCCTCTGGAAGCAAAAACCAGGAAGCAGCCAGCCCCAGACAGAACCAGAACTTTTCTGACTTACATTCCCCTTACTTTATCTTCAACAGTCTCAGAAATCAAATACAAGGATACCTCACTCCTAAATACTTTAGTGAATGTCACGTTAAATACAATAGATGGGATGCGCTGTGTGGGGGTAAGTGATTACACTAAACTGCAACAGACTGGTTCAAACCAGAAAGAAGTCATTCATGCAGTGGCTACAATATCACACTGCATTTAAAACTGGCCAAATGCCAGGTGATGCTGCTGCACAACTTTTATCCCAGCACTCGAGAGGCAGAGGCAGGCAGATCTCTGTGAGTTCGAGGCGAACCTTGTCTACAAAGTGAGTTCCAGGACAGCCAGAGCTCTTACACAGAGAAACCCTGTCTTGAAGAACAACAAACAAACAAACAAAACAACAGACCAGAGGCTGGAGAGCTAGCTCAGTGGTTAGAGCACTTGCTGCTCTTTCAGAGGACCCAAGTTCAGTTCCCATCACACATGCCAGGGAGCTCATAACTGCCTGTAACCTCAGGAGATTTCACATCCTCTTCTGGTCTTGAAGACACCTATGGATAGTACAGAGACACAAACACACACAAATAAAAGCAAAAATCCTCAAAAAAAATCAAAGCAGGCCAGGCGATTTATGGTGACAGTCCGAAGTTACCCAGGCTACCCAAGCAAGAAGGACAAGGTAGTCCTCTCTGTTTTAATTCTGCAACAAAAGTAACTCTGAAATAGTCAATCTACTTTTCTATTTCTGCCCTATTCAGCCCCTTTCTGTTTATAAAGCCAACCCCTATTGTAGGGCTTTGAGCCTCAATCCATTTTGTGTGTGGGATGCACCCAATTCATGCATCTCTGATAAGAGTCAATTAGATCTTTAATATTCATATTGAAATTTAGTTCTTAGCCATTTCTAAAACAAAACGTTCAACTGGTCACAATAAGCCTACATAACATCAGTATTGACAGAATATCACAATTAGAGCTGGGTTTGGTGGCAACATGCACATAATCAAGGACTTCCTAGAGTTTGAGACCAGTCTGCCTGGCTATTTAGCAATTTATAGGCCAGCCAGAGCTGTGCCACCTTGAGTCATGTTTACACACACACACACACACACACACACACACACACACACACACACACTGCCACACCACAATACATACACACCACATACATACACCTCTCTCTCTCTCTCTCTCTCTCTCTCTCACACACACACACACACACACACACATCTCTCTCACACACACCTCTCTCTCTCACACACACACCTCTCTCTCTCACACACACACACACCTTTCTCTCTCTCTCTCCACACACACCTCTCTCTCTCCTCTCTCTCTCTCTCTCTCTCACACACACACACACACACACACAATTTTTTTTTTGGCTTCTTTATTTCTAGTTTGCCTGGAGTGCATTTGTTGCAGCCTCTGATGCACTCCCCATAGGCCTACTTTGTGAAACTGGTCCCCTGTTGTGTGATGGTTTGTGACCAGTTTATCTCCGGTGAGGCCTATGCTTCCGATGCCCCAGGGCCTCCAGCAGAAGCATTTCTACCAATGGGCAAGTCATCAGTCATTTACTCCCTGTCCTACTGACCACATTGAAGCTCTGTCCTCTTGGATCTCCCAGATCTTATAGAGTCCAAGGTCAGGGTAGATGACTGTCATAGTGGCTTTGGACCCTAGCAGTAGTGTTCCATTCTTTCCCTCTCCCGTCTTTTTATTTATTCATTTTTTTGATATGGAGTTTCTCTGTCCTAACTGTACCTTTTCACTGTGTTTGTACCTCTAGTGCCTTAAGCTCGGTGTATTGGTGTATTTAGGGTGACATTTTCAAGGCAGTTCGAAGCTTCACCAGACAAGCAAATCATCTGCCATGACTCCTCTCTAAAGACACTGCAGCCATCATCAATAGTGGAAATGCTCTTAGAAGCAACTGAGAACTAAAATCGTTACTCCCAGTTTACACAGGACATGCTCTGGCTAAACCACAAACCATTACTGCAAGCTCGGCATCCGTGTTCTTGTCTTCACCTACTTCTTTGCAGACACAGACATCCTGTAAACCCAACACACGTCCACATTTCTTTGGGTGATTTATTAGAAAACAGTTTGGCTTTTTCTTTAATTAGAACAGCCTTTATTCTAGATTGTATTCTGTGAAGGCTGCTGGCATGAGAGGTCACATTTTTTGTTCTTGTCTCCAGTGTTACACCTTCATTCTGCCTGGTTTGATGGGTACGGGAGTGTCCCAGCAGTGTCTCTCCTCTGGTACTTATAGCAGAATCTAGGGATCCTCAACTGTGCTCTTAAGAATACAGGTGAATCTGGGCATGGTAACAGACACCTCTAATGCCAGTGTTCAAGACACAAGAGGATCTCTGTGAGTTTAAAGTCAACCTATACTACACAGAAAGTTCCAGGCTAGCCAGGGGTATGAGATCCCACCTCAAGACAAATACATGAAAGGAAACAAAAAACTAAAACAACAATAACAAAACCCCACAGATGAAGCCAAAGTAGTGGCTCAGGCTTGTTATCTCAGCACTCAGGAAGCTGAGGTAGGATGGTTACAAGTTCAAGGTTAGCTGTAGCAACGTGGTGAGGGCATCGTAAAACACCCCACTTGTGAGAAAGGTTTCTCATCCTAGGAGACTCAACTCAATGGATTTCAATGGAGAGCTACAACTGGACCTCAGAGGCACTGGCTGGGTGAGATGGGCTGGGAGTGAGGTGCAAGGGAAGAGCAAACACTCATTATTGCCTGAATAAGTGATATGATTGATTCCTTCAAAAGAGATTTATTTTTATGTGTGGTGTGCATGCACATGTGTGTGGTAGGATATTACTTTTAGGTGTGTGACTTTTGTTTATGCTGCATTTGTTTAACTCTGTGAAGCTGTGATTTTTTTTGCCTGTCTAAAACACCTGATGGTCCTAGTAAAGACCTGAACGGCCAATAGCGAGGCAGGAGCAAGGATGGGTGGGGCTGGCAGGCAGAGAGGATAAACAGGAGAAATGAGACGCAGCAAGAGAACAAGGAAAAGAGGACTTCAGGGACAAGCCACCCAGCCAGCCACAGAGTAAGAAGGAAATATGTACAAAAGTAAGAAAGATAAAAGCCCAGAGGAAAAAGGTAGATAGGATAATTTAAAATAAGAAAAGCTGGCAAGAAACAAGCCAAGCTAAGGCCAGGCATTCATAACTAAGAATAAGCCTCCATGTGTGATTTATTTGGAGTTGGGTGGTGGGCCCCTCAAAAAGACTAAAGAGTAAAACATTAAACTACACAGGTGGAGAGGGTGGCCCTGAAAATATGTCAACTTTACAAGGCTGACATACATGCTTGCTGTATTGTATCTGCTGTTTGAATGACATCCTAAGATAAATGCTTTTTTTTCTCTTTACAAGGGCCTAGGGCAACGGAGCCCATAAGTCTACACCTGTCATTAGCCACATCCTGTCTGGGTGCCCTGGTTAGACTATCCTATACTGGTTCAAAGTGGGGAAATGCATGGTGGGTGGATGCCACTTCCTCCGAGGAAGTCCTTTAAATATTGGAGTAATATGATTAGTGGCATGTGAGTAGCTAACAGTATTGAAGTCTCTAGTTGTTTTTTTTTTTCTTTTTCTTTCCAGACATGGTCTCACTCTGCAGTCCAGGCTGGCCTCCAACCTCTAAAGAGAGTAGCCTGCCCCTGCAGTGCTGGGATTAAAGGTGTGCCCAACACATCTGACTCCAGTCCCAACTTCATTAGATCCAAGCCAGGCTTTCCTGAAACCTACATATTCAGCAAAGCAACAAGGTTTTCTATGATAGCCGGTAATGTCTGAACCAAACTTTTGGGGATACATACCACTACCTGGA